TGCACACAGTAGCTGCTCTGCCTACAGGGACCCGTGAGCTCCAGCAACACACCCCAGTGAGATGGCTCCAACTCTGGCCTCTTGCCCGGGGCAGGGGGAAGTACCAGGGATCATGGCGGTGCTGCTCTGAATAACTGACTTGCGACAGGGCAAGTCTTCCTCTACATTGGAAGCTGGAAACCAGAAGTGGAGGAAATGCCTGTGGTCCCAGATTCTGGGGCACACTCACCCCCAAGGTGGAGATCAGCCTGGGCAACATCTTGAGACCCAGACTAAAAAAAGTAAAGCAGATCTAAGTCTGCACTGCCAGACTCTGAGAGCTTTTCTGTAACAGAGTGTCGTATGATTTTTGGCACATAGAAATCCAAAAAATAAAAGGTCAGAGCATTGAAAGTATTGTAATGGAACTCTTCCATGTTCTCTACCTATGAGAACAAGGCTCTCCTCATGCTCAGATTTCTAAAGCCTGGACACAGACAGGCCAACAGCCAGTGCCGGATGGTGGGCACCAGACAGGGGCAGGAGAGAGGCCCAGCCTCATGCTGCCAGGCCACACAGCCCTTGGGGTCGCTGGGGCCAGGAGGAAGCAAGCAACACAGACCCAGTGTCTTCCAGAGAAAACCCCTAGAAATCTGGAAAAGGGTCTGTTGGTCCCGCAGACCTCAGCCAGGCTGCGGAGCACTCGATCTGGCTACTGGACCAGAGGACTTGACATTGTATGGCCCACAGTGTCCGGTAGACCCAGCACAGTTCCAAAAATTCCGAGCTCTTTTGGTAAGCTGATTGTAACGTTCCCACGGGACTGTAAGGGGCCTCAAATAACCAACATAAAGAGAAAATCAGAATACAGTTGGAGGCAAGCATGAGGTTGTGAGTTTGATCCCCAATACCAAAAAAAAAAAAAAAAAAAAAAAAAAGAATAAAGTTGGAGGCCTTGACTTTCTGATTTCAAAACATACTATATACAGGCAACTGAGATACACACCTGTAATCCCAGTTGTTCAGGAGACTGAGGCAGGAGGATCACATATCTGAGGCCAGTCTGGGCAAGTTAGTAGGACGCTGTCTCAAAATTTTAAACAAAGGATGAAAGGATGGAGGACTGGGGATTTTAGCTCCATGGTAGAGCATTTGAAAAGAAGAGAGAAAGCAAGAGACAAACAGACACAGGAAGACGGAGACAAGAACCGTGGAATAGCACATACAGCACATGAATACATAGAGAGCCAACTGATTTGGGGTTTTTTTTTGTTTGTTTGTTTGTTTTCTGCTTTTTGAGACAGGATCTCACTGTGTATCCAGGTTGATCTTGGAGTCACTATGTAGCCCAGGCTGGCCTCAAACTTATGGTGATCCTCCTGCCTTGGCTTCCCAAGTGCTGGGCTCACAGATGTGTGCCACCACATCAACCCAGTTCAACATACAAGGGCACCAAGACTATTCAATGGTAAAGGGAATATTCTTTCCAACAACTGGTGCAAGAATATCTGAAGTTGGACCCCATCTCACACCATATACAAAATAACTCAAAAAAGAAAAAAGACCTAGTCAGAAGGGTTAAAGAAAATGGAATGAGAGCAAATCTTTGTGATATTGGGTTAGGCAGTGGTTTCTTTCCTATGCTGACAAGAGCCAAACTACTGAAGAAAAATAGATGAATTGGACTTCATTAAAGTTAAAAACTTTTGCCCTCCAAGGAGCATCCTCAAGAGAGAGGAAAAAACCCCATAGAAGAGCCAGGAATGATGGTGCACACCAGTAATCCCAGCACTCAGAAGGCTGACACAGGGAATTGCTTTGATTTCTAGGTCAGTCTGGGCTACATAATGAGATGCTGTCTCAAAACAAGCAATTAAAATCAGTCCATCAATCAATCAAATGCACAGATGGAGGAATATATTTGTAAGTGCTGTATTGGATAAGGGATGTATGTGCAGGATAAGATACAGGACTCTTCCACTCAGTGGATGGCCCTTTGTCTGTGCCAGGTCAGCCAGTGACAGACAGACAGGCAGCCACTGCAGGCTGTGGGGAAGGAAGGGGCTTGTGCTCTGCCAAGGGCCGTGAACAGTACTGCAGCAGCTTTAGGAAATCTCATCTGGGCCTAAAACATTAAACAGAACTCTGAGGATGAGGAAAACAAGTCTCCATGTGAAGGCAGCATGATTCACAATAGGCAAGAAGTGCACAACCCACTGTTGCCAAATGGTGGTGGACCACAGCACATGGTCTACTTCACAGTGGAATATCACACAGCCATGAACAGAGAGGGCTGCACGTAGAGCACGGGGCTCACTGATGCTGGGCTGTGGGCTGTCTTTCCTTGTGTGCCTGGTGGTGGGGGTGGTGGCAATGAGGCCTGCATACCCCAACATGCCGGGTTGACGGTGCTCCTCCTGACCCCTTGGCACAGCCCCCTGGCCACCAGCATGGCTCCTGGCATCCTCCCCAGTTCCCTTGTTTTGTCCTCATCTGTTGGGGAGGCCTTGGCCTCCATTGGCTCTGGAGTCACTTGCTCTCTGGGCCTCCATGCAGGTGTGGCACGTGACACCATGCATGTGCGCACCACAGACACACACATGCAAGCACGTGAACACATGCATGCATGCAAGCACACTTCCAAACCACAAGTGCATTACCGCCTGGATGCAGCTGCACATGGGCACGCGTGCATACGTGCACTCCACACATGCACATCATGCACCTCACACCACCCTACGGACCTACGTCATGCAGCAGTGACTGTGACCCCGAAGGCATCACCAGGGTGAGGACTGCCTGAAGCTGTGCAGTGCAGGCTGCCAGGATCCTCCCCCTTCAGGCAGCTGTGAAGGCCACAGGTGCAGCCACCAGTGCCAACACCAGCCCTGCAGGGTTAGGCTGGTCCCGTGCACCAAGTACCCTGGGGACTCCTCAGCAGACCCCCAGCCAATGCCAGCAGCCACAGCCAGGCCTCCCTTCTCTGTGCTTCATGTCCTGGCCACCGGGCCACAGCAGGGCCATCCCTTCCTTCTAGGGTGTCTGTAGGCCAGGCCAGCTGAGCTGCCTTGCACTAGGGGGTGGGGGTAGCAGGAGAAGCCTGGCTGCTCTGGACAAAAGGACCCTTGCCTGGGCCAGGGACACGCGACAGATTCTGTCACTGTCCTGGGGACAAGGCCCAGCAGGCTCTGGCTTCCTGGTCACAGATGCCCTTCCCTGCCTGTACAGTGGGACACAGTGGTCCCTGGATCCATTTCACAGGAGCCCCTTCCCCACTCATGAAGCTGCACCCTCTGACTATGGCACCTCTGGACAGCCCCACCTGTGAGGGCTGTCACCTGGGAGTCCAGGTGCAGGAACGGCAGTGACGCATAAACTGCAGCCTGTGGCTGGAGGGTGGGAGGAAAAGAGGGCCATGGACAGAGGGGCAGAGCCAGGAGCAACAGTCACTCTGGCAGGAGCCGTGGCTCAGAGGCAGGGGCTTCAAACCACCAGAAGGCTAGGGGCTGGGTCTGGACGGAGGCAGGGGCATGTGTCGAGGAGGGGGCTGGCTGGTGACCCCAGAAGGAAGCCAGGGAGACATGGATGAGAGGTGCACCCAGGATGTCAAGACACCATCCAGGAACAAAAGTAAGAGAGCAACTCACTTCCAACAGCATCAAAAGCAACAAAGCTCGCAGCTCCTCAGTGAAGGAGTAGAGACCAGGAGGCCTTTCGGAATGAGAGAATGGGTCTGGTCAGGACACCCGCAGGCTGCACATCAGAGCAGCTGCAACCTCCACACGGCCATCACATCCATGACAGTCCTCTTCCCCTAGGAATGGAAATCTGGGCCTAAACTTTACAGAGAGTCAAGAGGCCCCCACACAGACCAAACAGTCTCGGAAAGCAGACACTGCCACGCACCCACCAGCTGACTCCCAACTTGGAAACGTGTCTGAAGCTGCAGTGCCCAGGGCCGGGTGCTGACCAGATATCCCCACAAACACTAACTCCACGTGGCCAGATGCCAGTGCACCATTAAACTTGCAGGGAAAACCGCAAGGCCTCATGATTTTTGACTGGGCAATGCTTGCTTTCCGCAACAGCAGCGGAGCTAGACATGGCGCAGCAAGGCCATCAGCGCAGGCAAAAAGGCAGCCCCACCACGGATGCAGCATTTGTGCAACTCTCGTCTGAGGGTGTCTGGCACTGGGGAACCACAGGAATGCCCAGCTCTGTAACAAAAAGAGCTCAGCTGGAAGCAGGCAGGGGCCTGGAGTCTCTGTGTCTCTGAGGACACATGCAGTCAGTGTCACTGGCCACCCGATACCACAAACACCACAGCGCACCCACCTTGCATCAATTTGCCTAACAACTCAGTCAGAACCAGTGTAAGACCCAGCGACTCCAAGCCTGATTATGTACACAAAGCCTTGAAAGCAGGTGGTCCCTCCACATGGAGCAGCAGTCAGCTGTGAAGAGGACCAAAGTGCTGCCGGGTGCTGCAGTTTGGGGGCGCCTGAGGCTACAGTGCTCTGTGAAGAAGCCAGCTCTGTCATACGTGTGGGGACTAGGTCTGCTTTTCCTGTACCGGGGACTGAACCAACGGTCCAGCACTGAGCTACATCCCAGTCCTTTCTTTCAGTTTTTAAGAGAGGGTCTCTTTAAGATATTAAATTGTTCAGATGGTGTTGAAGTTGAAATCCCCCTGCCTCCCCAGGTGCTGGCACTAGGCTAACGCTGCCACACCCTGCTGGGCATAATTACACTTGCAGGAAGTGATGAGAGTGGACTGGCGGAGAGTCGGCAGGGTGGGCAGTCGGTGTCTCCTGCTCCCGCCCTCTCTCTGTCAGTGTCTCTCTGTCTCTGGCCTCGAGCCAGGACTTGAGGTCCCAGGGATTTGCAGGTTGGAGTCCCATGGGTGGTCACTGTTTTGCTCAGCCAGCTTTGAGAACAACAAAAGCTGCCTCTGAACCAGGGCGCAGTCGCACATGCCCCAGGCTACCCCACGGGCATTTATCCCCCCAGGACCCCAATACCTCTGTCGAGCACCGGCCCAAAGATGGCGAGGCTGTCGTTGACGGTGGTGCAGTTCCAGCGGCGGCCCCGGAACTGGTGCTGGCACTCCTGGATGCCCACCTTCACACCCTCGGCCACGCCTGGCATGATGTCCACGTAGTTCCGACAGAAGCGCAGCTGCTTGGGCACCAGGCCAGGGATGCTGGCGCAGAGGACCGGGTGGCTGCCCAGCATGGAGAACTGCGGCCCAACAGCCAGGGACCTGGGAAGGTGGGAGAGAAATGTGGCTCCTCCCAGGGAGAGCACAGCCTTGTACCCGGGATAATTGCATCCAAGGAGTGAGCCACCACCTCCACCAGGAAGAACTCCTGGGCTTAGGTGAGCCTGGGACTTGGTCCCAGACTTACTGCCAAGGTTGGCCAAAGCAGGAGCTGTAGGCACAGAGCTGATGATAAAGGGGGGGGGGGGGAGGTGGCAGTCCAGGAGGCTTTGGGCATCTGGGAGAAGCAGGCCTAGCTTTTTCCACTGCCCAGTGTTCACCCCAGAGACATGGGGAGGGGCCCTGCTTGGTGTCTCCAGAGCTGAGGGACTTGGCTCTCAGGCCCTTGATCCACTCTAAAGTCATACAGCGATTGCAGGTGACACACATGTCCTCTGGTCACTACAGGTCATCCCTGGCCCTGACACACGGGAGCGCAGTGGTCAGTATCACCTGCACAGTCAGTCTGCTTCCAGGCAGACAGGATTTGCCTGGACACCCTCGGTCCCTGTGCGCAGTGTCCTGGGCATGACCTCACAGCTTCTGTCCCGGCTCAGGCCAAGGTGGAAAGAGCTTCTCAGGTCCAGCTGCCTGTGGCCCTCCCCTGCTAGCTGGATGTGGTCAGTGGCCAGGCATCCCCTCCCAAGTCCACTGGGCATCCCACAGGCAAGCCCTGGCACGGTTGGGGTCATGTGGGTGGACATGGCTCACACCACCTCTCTGAGTGCAGGGAGCCCCTGGGAGCCCACAAGGGTGCTGGAAGTACCTCATGGGGTCCCTAGGTGTCATCTGAATGGAGGCTTGGTAGGGCAGAAGAAAAGCTCTTTTCACAGGCACAGGGCCATAGGAAAGATGAGATAGAGGATGGGCGACTGAGGCTAGATGGGGAGGAAGCCCCGTGTGCTGGCTGACCTCGTGCTTGCCCCTCACCCCACACACACCCTACACCATGATCTCTACCAACAGAAAGCTAGGAGCAGAGCCACCCTCAGCCTCTGCAGGAGTCTCACCACATCTCTGGCTTCTTTCTCAGTCCTCCCCAACAGAGGTGGGGATGGATTGGGGAGGGATCAGGTCACTGTTTCCAAATCACAGCCCAGAGAGCCAGGACCAAGGCTCATGGCCACTGTCCCAGTGCCTAGGCCTGGGTGCCTGTTGTAGGCAGGGACATGCTTTCTGTCCCTGCAGACTTCCTTCAGGGACCCATAAACCCAGGGATGAGCTGACATCAGCGACAGAGCATGGGGGGCTGGGTGTGCTGAGACCACTGTGTGGGCTGAAGCAGTGGCTGGGCCCTGAGCATGTGGGTGTCTGTGTCCAAGTTCATAGCCACCCCCTGAGGCTCAGCCTGTCCTCTCTCTCTCTGGTTACTCCCAGGAAACTCCTCTGCAAGGAGGGAATTTTTAGTTACTAAATGTTTGCTGACCTGGATACATGAGTGGGAAGCAGGATTCAGTTCCAAGGGAGAAAAAGAGGGCCTGGCCTCCAAACTAGCAGGGGCCATGTCCAGTTTCAGGCTGGCAGCCTCACCTCCCACACAAGGGCCTCTCTGGCTGCGGCTGGACACAGCCTAGCACCCTCTCCTCCTTCCAGCCTCACCAGCTGTGTGGAACAGGCAGGATGATATCCAGGGCAAGCAAGAGAGAGTGCTCCTAGGCATCTGGCCCCCTCTGCAGGGCTTGCCCCCTCTCAGCTGACCCCTTGGGGCCAGGGATGGAGGAGGAGGCATCCCCCAGCTTCTCTGATCAAGGGCTGCTTCCCACACCGATCCTCTGCATCAAGAGCTCCGAGCTCTAGGTTTCAGGTGGAACTTGAGACCAAGTAAATCATTAAGATTCAGGTAAAAATCCAGACCAGAGGAGCACTGTCCCAGACTTCCCCAGTGCCCACAGGGTTCATATTTCTAAACCAAGAGAACACAGATGTCACAGGGCCACCACCCTAACTGATGTCAGCAAGGGTCCCACTCCGTCCCAGCAGAGGTGCCTGACTCATAGGCCCTGTTCTCCAGGAGCCACGTTGGCCACTGCTTGGGTATCTGCTGCACACACAGAGCCTGGGAAAGTCTGATGCCCTGCAGGTAGTCAGGACATGGTGGACAGGAGAGGACTCGGCAGGCAGGGTACCGCACTGTCACTTCACGTCCCCGAAGGACAAGTGCAGGAGGAGATACCGCAGAAACCAAGAGACACAGGCACATTGACCACGAGAGGAAACTGAGGCAAGGTGAGCACTACATTTGCAGATCTTCCAGATCTCTGCACTACTTGGGTCATCACTCAGGAGCAAGGGGAAAACCAAGCAGATGCACTGAGGTGCCAGAGCCAGGTCCCTTGCACAGCCATCCGGCCACAGCATCACCTCCATCAGGGTGGAGACAAAGCCCTCCTGCTTGCCCATGCGGGGTGGGGCAGATACAGCACCCATGGCTCTTTTCCAGCATTCACACTGGGTATCTGGGACGTTCACATCTGGAGGAGGTGTCTGCTCCACTGGCCTGGGGAGACGCCTTGCCACATCCCAGCCGACCCAGACCAAGGCCAGAACTGGGCCAAAGGCCAGGGCCTCTGGCAGGTGGACATTAGGCCAAGACAATCTGCATTAGACACACTGGTGCACACTAGGTAATCAGAGACCAAAGCCAGCTCTGAGACATGGACACCACACTGCAAACCAAGGACAATGCAGGGAGCAGAGAACCTGGACTTGTCCCTAGCCATAGGGTGGAGGCCTGGCAGCCTCTTCCTCGGCTCTGGCCTCAAGAAACGCTGAGCTGCAGTCACTGTCCACAGTGGGCCAACTGGCCACATCCACTGAGTTCCTTGGGCTGGAGGGAGAGGACTTGCACCTGAGTGCAACCGAGTGCCAGGAAGGACGAGCTCTGGGGACACAGTGCCACTAAGCCAGGCAGCCCGCACTTCCCCGCAGCTCTGCTCACCACCTACAGAGCATTGTGCAGAGGTACACGTATTCCATCTGACCCCAGCATCTCCTCTGTCTCAGTGACCTCCCAGCCCCTCCCATGTGACCAGGCTCAACGCTCGAGCAAGGTGCAATGGCAGGATGGGTCCACACTGCTCTTGTCCATGCAAAAATGGCATTGGTGAGCAAGTCTAATGTAAATGGTACATGTTAAACCACATTCACGGGCAGTCACCATGCAGCCACAGGACGGTGCAGGGTGGCTGCACTACAGCCACAATGCAGCCATCTCCATTACAGAAGTCAGGAGGGAACTCCCACCTTACCAAGGCTGGGCTACTCTGGCCTGCCCTGTAGGACTTTAGAGCCTCAGTTTTCCTCGTGAGCAATGCCTGAATGATAGCAGGCTCCTCCCAGGGAGGCCCAGCTGCCACTGTCCAAGAGCAGCACTGACAGATCCAATGCCATGCAGAAGATGAGGTCCTCTTGCACCTGTCGACTGTCTCTCAGGGTGTCCACTCACAATGTCAGCCTGGGGCACAATGCCACCTGCCCTCTGCAGGTACCAGGGTCCTACAAAAAGCCAGGTGCCCAGGGTGATGCGAGGACAGGGACGGGGGCCAAAGGACTCAAGTGCTGACCTCTGCCCAGTGTCTCTGGGCCCAACACCCATGGTCTCCACCCTGTGCAGATGCATGAACCCCCTTAAACCTGCCTCAAGCGCCCACCCTAACTGCTCCTGTGCAAAAGTACAGCCAATGTCTCCCAGGGACGCAGGCCTTCCTGACAGCTGCTCCCACAGAGACTTGGCATGCTGGCTCAGGGTCATTCTCCACTCATACCCCAGATCCCACCTTTCTGGTCCTGGGAGGCCTGGCCCCTGCCTGGGGGTGGCAGGTGCTGCCCTGGCCCAGGGACATGGAGCCCGGCCCGCCCTACTGCACCCATTTCTTTATACCTGGCTGTGGTGATTCACCCCGGGAGGAATTCATTCCTTCTCCTTCCAGCTGCCAACCCTTCAGTGGCAGATGGTGTCCTGGCAGGCGGGGGCATTCCCCACAAGTAGCTGCCGCCTGGCTGAGCAGCTTGGGTTCTAACTGCCTTATGGCTGTTATACTGTGCTGTCGCTGGGTCCCCAGATGGGAATGTCTAGAAAGAACAGAGCGCACCTTGCCACCTCCAAGGCATCTCTCAGTCTCACAGGTGCTTTTCCCTGTGTCCAACTCTGTAGGGCCTTTCCACACCAAGGGACAGCCAGTGTAACCAGGCACTCGGGCTGGAGCCCTTGGGTTAGAGCCCTAAGGATGGTGGACGCAGGGCCAACCAAGGTCAGCAGCAGAAAGGTCCCAAAGGTGCAGGAGACAGCAAGCCTTGAAGGCAGCATGCAGGATTCTGAGCCAAGGGCACAGCACAACTCAGGGTGAATGGAAACGGCCGTCCCTAATTGTGCTGGAATGGTCCAGTGGGGTCACAGATGCAGCCCACCTTGCTTTTCACAGTGCTGCCTGGCAGACACAGTGTACGTGAAGGCTACCACAGCATGCGGAGAGCCGTCCGGAAAGCACCCATCTCCCGGCCCATAGCCAAGAAAGCCATGTTTGCACCCCCGCAGCACTAATGGTTTTCCTTTCCCTTCACTCAGTCCCACTGTAAGGCTGGGCACCTGGCCAGGGATCCAGCAGACACTGGCTGTGACACGCAGAGGAAGGAGGCTGGCCCAGGCTCCGAGCCCAGGCCTCCACTTCTGTTTGGCCCCATGGCTCCTCCTGACCCTTCCGCTGCCCAAGGCAGCAATGGCTGCAGTCAGCGGATGTACGAGGCAGAGGCTTGGGGAAGGGACAGCCCTGCTGCACTGGGCACGGCCTGCACTGTGTCCTGTGGTAGGATCAGGGTCTCAGGGCTGCAGATCCTTACACATCACCATAGTGTTAGCAAGGTCTTTGGGTGAACTCTCAATGTTGGGAAACTCATGTGTAGGACACTTCACTGTGTCTGCCCAGCCAGCGCCTGAGAGCTCCTAGAGCAGGCGTGGGACCAGCTAGTCTGCAGGCAGGGAGGTCTGCAAGACATTCGGGCTGTGGTCCCAGCTGGATCTGACTGGGGCTCATCCCTGGATCCCTAAGACATCCTTTCCCCTCTGGGTCTCAGTTTCCCACTTGTGAAATGAGGCCCCCACCTCTACGGGGATGGCTGGAACAGGCAGGCCCTCGTTTGACAGAGCGGCCTGGTCACTTCTGCCAACAGGTCTTGGGGGCTGCCCGCTCCAGGGCCCTCGAACACCCCCGGGCCTGGCGCTGACACCTCCCTTTGCACTGAGTGGCACAGTGCCTTGCCCATCTTCTCTCATCCTGGCTGGCACGGTGAGTGAGCAGGATCCAGAGCAGGGATGTGGCTCTGCCCAAGCTGGGGCTGGAGGTCTGGCTCAGGCAGCCCTGGTCTGGTTCTGAGCTGCCATCCCTGAGCCCAGGGATCCCCACAGTGCAAAGGACACAGCTCTGGTGCCTGGAGCCCAGCCCAGTATGAGCCCCATAGCACTCCCAGTGACATGGCCCGGCCGCTTTTCATCGGTGCTCACTCTGAGCAGCGTCTGTGCGGGAGGGGCCGGCCCCAGCACCCGTCTAGCCCGTCTAGCCCCAGGCCAGGCTGTGCGGGATTACTGACACATATTTTGAGCGAGTCCCAGCAGGCGGTGAGGCTGCCACGCCGGGCGGCCATGGATTTGCAGCGTCCCGGACGGCAGCAGCAACAGCACGTTCCAGCGGGGGTGGGGGGCGGGGGGGTGGAAGCAGCATGTGTGAGACACCTCCAGGGTGTCACCTGGGGAGCCCTGGGGGGCAGCAAGGTGGAGGGGATGGTGACATGAAGGGCGAACTCACACCCGGCCTGGTGCTATGCCTGAATCTCACAGCGTCTGATTCACCTCTGGTCTATGCACCGATGGCCCCCCCACCTCCGGCAACTGAGGCATGGGGCAGGGTGGAGCCAGGAAGGGTTAGGGTAGGGTTGGCCACACCTGTGTGCCCTGCAGTCAGCCCTACGGGGTTCAGTCTGGGTCGCTCACCAAGGAGCCACCATCCCTTTACTACATCTGCGGCACTCTTCGGGCAGGGTGGGGCTCCAGGCACGTTCAGCACCCTCCATCAGCCTCAGTTGCCACAGCACATGGCCTCCCAGGCACCACTGCTAGCCCATTGGGTAGAGTGCCTGTGGGGGTCTCTGCTTCTCAGCGGGTGGCCCTGTCTCCCCACTGCTGCATACTCTGGGCCCAGTGGCAGTTTCCAGGGAGGCTCTCACAGAGCCAGGGAGGGCTCATCCGTGGTCACTTCCATTTCATCCTGGTAAAATGCACGGACACTGCCATCTCAGGCTGCCCTGTGCCACACCTTCCTCTTCACAGCAGTGACCCATCCCTCACAGGTGGGCTCTGTGGCAAGGGAGCCACAGGTGGGGTGACAACCCGAGTCTGTCTCCACTCCAGGCCATGCAGCACTGTCCCCCATGCTGAGGTCTGCGACAGGAGGCTAGTTGGTGAAGGGACCATCAAGCTTTACTGTCCCCCTGAGTTTATGGATCACATCCACCAGCACCTGGTTACTGTGCGAAGAGGCTTGTGCAGACAAGGAAAGAGGCCAGCCAGGGCCAAGCCTCTCCCCTGGCCATCTCCGATGGTTCCCTGTAAAGTCTCACTGTTGCCGGTCCAGATTGCCAGACCTGGCCCAGAATGAGATCCCTGCCCTGGAGACCAGCAGGGTAGGCTGGGTACCTTGGTTTCTCTCATGTCATAGATTTTAGATACTGGTTACCAAGCTCAGTGATTTCAAGGCAGAGAGAGAAACTGAGAGACAGGGAGAGACCAAGAACAGAGACAGAGAACAGGGACAGGGACACAACTACAGAGGAACTTGGTACAGAGCAGATATGCTCAGAAAGAAGAGCAGGGCAGATCAGGCAGGCTTTGGGGTGCAGGCTTAAGGGGGATCTCAGGAGGGGAAGGGAGCCCTGGCTGTCTGTCCTGGAGGACCCAGATGCCTTGCCCAGCTGAGCTCATCTGCTCACCCTGCCCGCTCTCCTGGGCCCTCTCCCAGTTGTAGGGGCTCTGTGCCCTCTCTTTCCCACCCTGAGGCCCATAGGCAGGGCCCTTCAGCAACCGAGGCTTCTGGGAAGGCTGTTCCCCATTGTGGGCACAGACTGGCACACAGGGCCTTCTGTCTGTCCATCCGTCAGTCCTCTGTCCACCTGTGGTGGGTGCAGTAGCCCCCTGCTCAGGAGGAGGAGGTGGCCACAGGAAGTGCAGAGGAATTTAAAAGGGAATGAAGTCAACAGCTTGCCCTGGATGGGCTCTGACCCAGAGAAGAGGGGAGAGCTCCAGCCTCACCTGGGGTGAAGTGAGGAAGGATGGAGGGCCCAGAGTATACCTAGATGCCCACTAGCTCTGAGTCCTCAGGCACTGAGCTCCTACAGACCCCAGGTCTGGTCCTCATTTCATCGGGAGGGATGGGCCACAGAAGGAGCAAGCCAAGGCTTCCTGGTCTGGGCTCCTGTCACTGAGGTGCCCACAAGGATGTTTTTGGAGGTTTGCACAACTCTGGATGGACCTAGTCTTGCTGAGGACAGCCAGTCCTCACTGTGCCCTGGGATCTTTGACCCCAGAGGTCGCCCCAGTGCAGATGTGCCCCTCTAAGCCCTGCAGTGGTCACAGTAGGTGGCAACATCTCCTCTCCCTCCCTCACTTCAAGAGCCACAGCAATTTCAAAGACTAACTGCTCCCCAATGGAGCAGCTTCCTGCCTCTGCTTCCCAGGTGAGGAGGCTCCTGCAGTCACTCTCACTTTTGTATGCAGAGTGGGCTGGGAGCTGGGCTTTACTGGGGAGGAGGCTGAAGGTACACACAAGGGCAGCCCTGCGTCCAGTGGCCAAAGTGCCCTTCCAGCCCTGCATGCCCTCTACATGGGGAGTCAGCAGGAATGTGGCCCTGAGGTGTGGCCTGGGAGAAAGAGGATATTCAAAAAGGACAGTGTGATTTTGGTGCCAAGGATGTCCTGTTGCTGTTGTGCCTGCTCCCTGATGGCTGGGGTGCCCTCACTGGGGACAGCATCATCCCCACCTGGTCTTCCTGGGGCACCAGCAGCCTGGGTTCTGACCCCAGGCAGTTGTCTCTGGGGCCCCTTCTCAGGAAGCTGCGTTAGGTGTGAGACTGCAGAACAATGCAGGTGGGGGCACGGTCTGCAGGCCCTGCCAACTGCCCTTTAGGACCTGTGGGCTTTGAATCTCAGCTCCAGACAACAGTGTTACAGCGACTTGGGGCAGTGAGGTTAGGGGCCTCACTTCTGCCCTGCTTTTCTTGCCCTTTCCTGGTGGGACAGCTCTGTGTAAGGGGTGCTATTCAAGCATGGGGCGGATGTGCAAGGCCAAGAACCCCCTTCTTGAACTCTAGGGTCAAACGTCTCAGCGCGCAGGTATCCCGCAGCCTGGTGACAAAAGGAGTACAGGGCTGGGCGTTTCCCGTGGCCCTGAATGCGCAGCGGCGGTAGAGTCTAATTAGAAGCCAGGTCAGGAGCGCAGCCTGCTGGGCTCCATGGCCGCTGTCCGGTGGCCCGCGGCCAGGCCAGTGTGACCCGTGTGGGTACCCCCGCACCCCAGGGCACGCATGTCCTCCGGACGCTTGGCAGGCCGCGGGGCCGTGGGGCACATGGGGTCCCACGGGTTGGAGTCCCAGGCGTGCCTCTGCCGCTCCGAAGCCTCTCCCAGACCTCCTGCCGGCTCTGAGCTGCCCGCCCTCCCTTCCCCACCCTGAGCTAGGCGGCTCCTCTCCTAAACCATCTCGAAGAGAAAAATTATTATCGGATTAGATGTACTCCGGGTAACTGCGTCCCCCCTTCCCCTTGGCGTAATTATTATAATTCCAGGCAAGCCGTCGGAGGGGGCTCCCGGGTGGGGGAGCGTGCACGTTTGTAGGGAGGCTTCTGTCCCGGTCTCTGGCCCTTGGCGCCAGCATTCCTGTGTGCTGGGGTCTAGGCACCCTAGCGTAGGAGCCACTGAGACCCTCGTGTGGTGGCGGCGAGGGCTCTGGACCACCGACTGTCCAGGGGAATGATCGCCTGTCCTCTTCCGAGGTGTGCGCAGGGGAGGCTTTTGGTTCATCTGCACTGCGTACCCGTACTCCGGAAGGTCTCACCACTGTGCGCCTCGGCCGAAGGGGAGGGCGCGGCGCGGAGCCGCGCGGCACGGCCCTGTCTCGGCGATAACTCTGGGGTCCCCCTTGAACCCACCTACGATTTTGCACTCCGCGCCTCTCACTCGCGGAGCGCGCTCCGGGGACCCCGCACCAGGATGGCGACGGCGGGGAGGCACGGGCCGGTCTGGCCCCGCACCGCCGCTCCCCGCCACTCCCCCGGCCCGGGTGTCTTTACGTAACTGCTTCTCGAGCTGTTTGGTCTTGTCCCACCGACTTTGTTTTAAACCGTGCGCGCGCGCGCGTGTGCGCGAAATGGTCCCTCCGAAGAACTCGCGCGACTCTGCCTCCTCTCCGCGAGGCCCCGCTCGCCCTCTTGTACCGCCCGTAGCCTGGTCTTTGCGCCCTGGTTCCCCTTTCCCTGCCCAGACACCTGGACGGCTGGGATCTCCACCACCCCTCTCCCCAGGTCAGGGGAACTAGGATCCCCGGAAGCTCTGCCACTCGCGTCCCAGACTCGACTCGAACAGGGCCAAGTGGGGGCGCGCGCGGGGATCAGGGCCTGCCCTGGGACGGCTGCGGGCCCTGCCCTGGGTGTACTCACCACCAGATCGGGTAACTGCCTAGCGCTGGCCTCAGGCTGCACAGCACCAAGAAGTATCCAAGTGGAGCCATCGCCGGCTAGGGCGCGCAGGCCGGGGTCCGCCCAGGGAGCGCGGGCGCCTGGCGGACCAGGCCCTAGAAGCTGGCTGGAGGGTTACCGGTGCGCGGGTGTGCGCGGGGTGCGCCGGTGCGCGGATGTGCGCCGGTGCGCGGGCTCCGGGGGCGGCGCTGCGCCAGGTGGGCCGGCGACCGGGCGGCAGGCCGAGGCCCGGGGCGGCGGGGGCGGGGCAGCGCCGCGGGGGGCGCCCGCCGGCCCGGGGCCCCGCAGGGCTGGGGCGGAGCGCGCGGGCGGGGCCCTGAGCGTTGGAGCCCGATTCCCGCCCCCTGAGACGGTGCGCTCGGGGTGCCAGGTGAGTGGGAGCGCGGGCGCGAGGAGCGCGGTGCAGGTGTGCGAGGCGCGCAGAAGGGGCCAGCTGCTGCGTACGCAGGTGCGCGCGGGAGCGGGAGCCTTGGGCTCTGGGCGCTGAGCGCGGGCCTGGCGGCTTGGAAAGAGCGGGTTCATGATCCTGCGCCCAAAGAGGAGGACGCAGCCCCCACTTGCTCTTGTCGCGCCCTGCGCATCCGTCCCTGCCCTCAAGCGCTTGAGCACCGGCACGCTCACACCCCTTGCCTCGCCCCGGGGAAATGTTTGTGTAAGGCGGACAGTCGGGCTGCGCCCTGCAGGCCCCAGACAAGCACCACAGTGGGTACCTGGAGCGATTAAGGTGCAGCCCAGCGTCCCAGGTCGTCCCAGGAGTTCGGGCTCTGTCTGGGACAGGGATCGATACCTCCATCCATTTCGCCCCGCACTGCGAATGCTGGTTGTGGCGCGGGAAGTTGCAACTACCGGCCCTGGTTCTGGACCCTTTTGGCGGGGGTTCGGTGCTGAAGGAGCAGGGAAGGCGACTTCTCCAAGGTCACCTGCAGTTCGGCCAATTCCTGGTCTCTGAGTCATTTGCCTGTTCCTGGTCGCCTGGGAGTTGTGTAATTTGGGGAGGGCAAGATGAGGTCCTAGTCGTCCCCAGCTTCTGCCTGGGGCTCCTGGAAGCACTGCAGGGGCCCAGGAGTCGTGTCCATGGGCGGAGTGGAGCGCGGTCCACGGCTGAGGTCTCGCGCGGTCCAAGAGCCGCAAGGCAGCCCCAGTCCCGCAGTCGTGTGCCCCGCGCAGAAAGCGTGGGCGCTGGCCTGTCCGTTCGAGCCTGCGCCCAGCCCCTTCCCACGAGGGGCCGCTTCAGTCCCGCGCCTCCTCTGCGTGCCCAGGCCTAGCGCACCCCGAGCCTGTGCCCGGAGACGGCCGAGTTCCGAGAGCGCAGGTCTCTGAGTCATTTGCCTGAGGCCGGCTGGGTTCCCTCTCTCCGTGAAAACCCTGCCCTTAGTTTGACTTGGGCGATCCTGGGGTGTCCAGGGAGGGGCCTGGCCTAGCCCTCGCTTCCTCTCCGCTGCACCCCAGCTTTGCCGCGGAGGCCCGGTCCGCGTCGTTTGGGGAACCCAGTGGTGCCGCAGCCGCAGCCGCAGCCGCGAGGCCCGGATGTCGGGGTTAGAGGCTCTGCAGGCTTCTTTTCCGCACGTGCGCCCTTCCTGCACGTCCAGGCGCCCCCAGAGCCCCAATGGTGCTGGCCGGAGGGACCCGGGACGGTAACCTCGCCTGGAGCTGTGGCTCCCCAGGGACGCAGGGAGCGGTGCTGTCCCGCCTGGATGTCCCTGGACAGGCCTGGGAGCAGCGGCGGGATCCCCCCCGGCCCGGATGCACTGAGACGCGGTCAGGACCGGGGCCTCCGGAAGCGCCCCCTGCCGCTCTCAGTAGCCAGGCACAGTCAGTGGCCGCGGACTAGGCGGGCGCGGCAGCGTCAGGGGAGGGAACGTCTGAAAGGACAGACTTGGGCAGCCAGATTTGATGAAATAAAGTTCCCACTGGGTGAGCCTGGGGAAAAGGACTGGGGTCCCCTGCAGAGCAGCTTCCAGGAAGAAGGGGCAGCACCGCAGCCGAGTAGCTGCACCAAAGGGTGAGTCCCCTGTGCCGCCGGCTCCAGCCTCTTCCCGCTGGGACAGGCTGGGGCTTTGGACATTGGTTCATCTTTTGCTTCTTTTCTCTCCTTGAACAACAAGTTGAGCAAGGTGGTGGAAGGGTTTGGGCAGCCACGGAAAGTGAGGCACAGCATCTCCACAGCTCAAGGAGCCTGGAGGAGAAGTGGTCGGGCAGGGTGGGGCCCCGGGGTCAGGAGAGTCAGCACCCCGCTCCTGCCTTCCAGTTGCCGGGCCCTGGGGTTTCTGGATCCCCTCTTCACTGGTGGGTCTCTGATCTCTGGACAGAGCAGTGAGTGCAGGTGGGAAGGAATCAAACTCCTCAGCGCCCTACTCGGCCCTGGCCGCAGGTTGGTGGCTGTCCCACAGCTCTGGAGCCCCAGACTCTGTCCATGCTGTGTGGTCCAAGCTCCCCACTACAGCCAGACCCTCCACATGCGGGTCAGAGGTCTGAAGGCTGAGTGACCCCTGCCTGGCTGGAGAATTGTGGCAGTGGTGTTGAGGATGGCCTGATGTGAGCCCTGCCTCTGGGACTGGCTTCTGGACTGGCTGGTAGGATGTCTATCCCTAGAGCCATGGCGCATGGAGGCTCAGCAGCCAGGCTCCCCCGTCTGGGGTCCCGAGACATATGGCTGGCTGAAGTCCAGGCATCCTGAGAGGGGGCTTTGCTCAGAGCTCAGGTCAAGGGGCTGCCTTCCAAGGCTTCCAGCATTCTGAGTGGATACATGGACTGCATGCATGTGTGTGTATACACTTGTGTGCACACATGATTTCTTTCCGATTGCTCTCTCTTCCCCTGAGCCCTGGTGTTCCATCATGGGGCTCCCCAATGACCTCATCTAATCCCAGAGCCTCTTCTTCCCGCTCATGTGGGGATCTCTGCTGGCACACACCTGGCAGAGAATGAGGGGAAAGAGGCATCCCCCTAAGTCCCTCCTGCACCTCTGTGCCACCGTCTCTCCTCCCCTGCCCAGTCTGTGCCTCTGTATGCTACTGTAGGCTCAAGGGGGTGATGTCCTGCCTATGCCAAGTAACCCAGATCTCTGGTGGGTAACTCCTGGGCTCTGAAGTTGACTCTGGTCACCTGATGGTCATGATAGGCTCCAGCAGTCCTGTCTTCCTCAGAGGACCCTGGCTTCCAGCCTGGCCATCTCTCCAGTGACGGTAGAGCTGCTCTTCTCGTGTGATTGCTGTGGACTGAGCCTGTACTGGGGGTGATGGATCACTATACTAAAAATGGACAGAGGGGCCCAGGAGTCAGAGACGCATGGGCCCCTTGCATGGCTGGTGGAGAATCCTAAAGAAGTTGCAGACATCACTGAACCACAGAACCCAGAGCAAAGGACTGAGTAGAACTTCCAGTTTTGGGATGTTAGGATTCACCAAGCAGGAGCCATAAATGGGGTCTTAGAACTGTGAGAAAATGGAGTTGAACGATAGCAACACACCATGGAGTCCTGTATTCGTTGCTCTAGTCACAGACTGTGGATGTGTGTTCCAGTTGCCTGCTAGTCTGGGCCCTGGGCTCCAGCTGTAGTGAGGGGATTAGGGTGTCCAGACCTCTCCCAACAAAAGGGCCGTGTGCAAGCAGCCTCCTGCTTCTGGGCCAACACTGCCCCCCTGTGGACACACAGAAGCACAGTGCCTTGGAAGGGACACGTCCCCTACACTAGGGAACAATCCAGGTACTGCCTCTTTGCTGCCCTCTGTTGTCTGAGACACTGAGTGGGTCGGGAATCATGGGGACCGCCTAGTGCCTGGTAACAGCAGGGACCACAACTGTGCATTGTGTTGCTGGCTCTGTGTGACCCAGCCTAAACCCCACACAAGAAGTGGGTGTCACCATCCTTGAAGTAAATCAGTGTCCACTGATGGATCCGATTGCAAAGAAAATGACAGCAGCACACTGTGGGGACACCTTGCCCTGGACAGATGCCGTGCACAGTGGCTGAGAAATGCAGCTGATGAGCCCCCTGCCTGACAATGCACAGAGAAGGAAGGGTAGATGGCCATTCAGGTGTCACTGTGACAACAGGAATGGCCAGGGAGGACACTGGGCCCAGTGACACAATCCCAGTGCTCTAATTTTGGGCCCCCTCCACTGCTCCTGCACCTGCCTCACTTTTGTAATTCCTGTCAGCTGTGCTGCCCAGATCAAAGACTCTGAGCTCCAGGGATGGCGGGGGCTTCAGACCTGAGCGCTACTCACATGTGGTGGCTGCTGTGGGGCCAGCTAAGCCCACAGAGGGCACAGGGAGGAGGACAGCCTTGATATTCATGGACCCAGGACGCGACACTGCCTTTGATTGTCAGCCCAGGGTAGCCACACCGGACACAGGCTCAGGGTCCCCCTATCCCCTTCTATCAGTCCCCTCCCAACCGCTGCTCTGTGCCCTCCTGTGGTACCAACCTCCCCCCCAATGTCACCTCACAGCTGTATCCCCTCTCCTCAACTCTGGCTGGGCAGCATCTGCCCTGACTTCAGAGCACTGACTTTGTGCCCTGGCCTCACAAGCCTGCAGATTTGTCTCAGCAGATCTGTTCTTCTCTGGGGACTCAGTGAGGCTTTCCATACAGACAACCCCATCATCTGTGAGAAGGGTGTTTTTACTTTCTCCTTTTGGCTCTGCATGGCTGTCATGGCAGTGCTGGGAATTCAGGAGTGTGTGGAACAGCAACTCCTTCACCTCATCTTGATGTTGGGGCAAAAACGAAACGCACTGACTGAAGGTGATGCTAGCAGTCTTTTGGAGTGGCCCTGATCAGGTCAAGGTGCTAGAGTTTGCACCCAAATGTCAGAAATAGGGGTGAGTTTCCTGCAACTGTTGAGCCAATTACATAGTTTTAATTTATAGTCTATTATTTGTGTCTGTAATCTCTTTGTCAGTATCACTGGCCTATCACCTATGTGTATATTTATATATCTACTCATATTCATCATCTGTCAATCATTTATGATGCTATGTATCCCTCTGTATTATCATCTATGGACTATTTATACATTCTATCTGTATATCTAGATATATTTGTACATTTATCTGTTTTATTTGCCTATCTGTAGACTATTTCTATCACCTGTCTGTCTACCTGTCCATCTGTCGCTCCATAGCAGAATAGAAATTCCCAAGAGCAAGCCTTTTGCCAAGTAGTCTCATTGTGGTATGTCCAGTCCCTAG